AAATTCCAAAGAAATCCGAGTAATTTGCTAAGAACAAATTATTAACGTTATATTCAGCCCAGTGGGCGACCATAGAGCTGGTTGAACGACTGAATAGATCAATTAAGGAACGACTCATGGTCATGGCACAAGAAAAACCAAAGCCCTCTTTAAAAATAGCCTTACCGAAAACCAAAAAACATTTAAGGACTGTAACCCAACACTCACTGAATTGCTCTCCTTTTGAAGCACATTCCGGTAGATCATCAAACACCATTTGGCACAATCTTGTTAAACTCTAATCCTGAAAAAATTTGGATTAGAACAAAACGCTATTATGTATAGACAAGGGAAAAAACTAACGTGCCGGGACAGACGACATGACTGGGACGATCCTGTTTATATAGAGGACGGTTACTTGGACGACAAATCCTCCTCGTCAAAAGACATTGCAAAAGCTGGCAGCTACGTGCCAGCAAGCTCCGGCTCCCCAGTGAAAGTCTTCTCTCGCTCAGAGAAACGAGCAGCCCTAGATGTGGCCAATCCCGTTCTGAGTAACCTATCCGGTAAGACCCTTATCTATCGAAAAGTTAAAGACGGAAAAAAGGATGAACCGTACTATAAGGAGCTCAAAGAACAAAAAAATAGTAAGGGAATTGTACCAAACAATCACTCTTAAAAGTGGTAAAATAATTCGTAAATCTGATTTAGCGGTGAAAAGACCTACAGAACTAAAGAAGGCGAGCCCTTGTAAGAAGAATCAATTGTTCAAGTTTTATACCACAAAAGGACCTAGGAAAGTGATAAAACCAGCCAGAAATGTCGGATTTAAAACTCGAAGACAACTCAAATTAAAAAGAATCCCCAGGCTTAATTCGAACACAAAACACAGCCATGAATAACTCGAGAGAAACACTGTTACGAGAGGAGGAAGAGGAGTGGAAATCACTCAAATGTCCTATTCGCACAGAAAGCAAGCAAGATCAGCTCTCGTCGGGCCAACCCAGTCGACCACTAACGCCAAACAAACCGGACATAACACTCGCAAACATGACGCTAGCGACCTCATATTACTCAAAGATCAGAATTAATCACCAGATTCAATCTAGAAAATACACAAATTAACACAATTCAAGATCCAGCGAGAACCTAAAAAGAAGTCCCACGGAAAGAAGAGCCGAACTTAGCAAACGAGCAGGACCTATCTCAAGCCGCAGCCGACCCGAAGCCAACCGCCACCAACCTTGATCAACCTACGATACCACCAATTGTTCAACTCGATAATCAGGAGGAAATGGAAATTAGTCAACCAGAAACTTTGAACGAGGGCGAGAAGACTGAACTCCAAAGTCCAATAACAATCCCGAACACGTAGACACCCAGAAATCCAGTTGATACGGACGTGTAATTCCAGAAAATAGAACCCATACTGACCCAGGGTTTTTTTAAGACAACACATGCAGGAATGATCAAGAGGAACCCCACATCAGACATAATACGAGACCTATTCGAGATAGACAACCTCCATCTTTCTTGTTTACGAGAAAGGGTGTTTACGAGCCTCGTTGAAGCTTCAGACGACAGACTAGGTGAACATTCTTCAACTTCCCTAACGACCCCTCTGCCCACTTCATCTTTGGAAAAAATTAACATTGAAATAGAAAACCCGCCAGTACACATCGTAGACTTAACCACCCCAAATACTTCTCCATAACGACACTTGGCCCCTAATAGCTCTAGAAGACGTGGATTAGAACTAGTGAGTAAAATGAGATCCTTGTCAAATAATTCGCCTACCTCATCTTCCAAGAAAATGCAGTTCAAGCTGGAAGTACGGAAGAATGAATACGACCCATCGGGCTTACCCACTGAACCGTCGGCTGTCGTCGAATCAGCCATATTTAAAAACCCCAATTTGGCTGAACACATCCTCAATTATTGCTGCGATGGATCTGCTATGCCACTCGAAGAGCTCAGGAAATGAACTGAATTCAGAACTATGAACCGAGATGCCGCACACACTCTTCTGATGAACACAAACTTACCTCCAGTTAAATAACTCAATTTTTCTTAGTTACATTCTTTATTTTTCTTTTTCACTACTACGCAAAAACTTTGTGATAAAACTGGGGCTTTTGTTTTTGCTTAAGCATAAAACAAAATAATCCTAGTTTAACATCAATGTTCGCTATTGATAACATCTTTATCATTTTAGTTAGTTTATTAAAAGCCTTCAGTTTTATACCCGGTGTACGTCGACCCTAATATGTCAAAGGTGATCTTTTAACCTTTTATATTGTTCATGTTCTAATCTTGAGTTAGATTGATACCTGCCAAAAGCGCATCGGCTTTTGGCACAACTGATCTTTAGTCAGTGTATCTTTTTATGTAGCTAAATCTCAATTCAACATTTTAACCGATTCTATATTTCAATCTGGCTTAGTTAAGTAAACCAACGTCTTTCAATCCTGTCTTAGATAAAAGTCTACTATTTATTTTAGCAGATATATCTTATTTTATCAAGTCTTAGCTAGTCTTTTTAACTACAACCACAACTATCATTTATTATTCCAGTTACCTGCATTCAACTAATATTTCAACAATGTGGAAATTACACCTATTTAAGAGTGGTTTTCTTAAAGGTATATTTTTGTTGTACATTTTTTGTTAGCTTCTCCTTAGCCTTGTAAGGGTGGGCTTACATAACAAACAAGACTGCTAGTATCAGGGCGAGGCCCTGAATGTTCCGAGTGCCTCTCAAAATCTATGGCGCAGTAATAACAAGAAAACATTAAATATAATAGAACAAAATTATTTTTTTATTTGAGATTTTTTGTGAAGTTCATCCCCGCACACACCATATAAAGAACAAACTGATAGGTTTTGCTCCTAGTTACAAATCAGTTATGGCAAATACGCTTCTTCAACCAATTTGGAACGATTTCTGAGACGGATTAAATCTCTGCTTTTGCGTTAAAAGCGTGAATTATATCCCGCGTTAATTGTCCCAAATTGGCCAAATGGCAGCCTTTAAACTCCCATAATTTCACAGAAAACGATCACAGTTGAAATATTTTTTCAATTTTGAGCTCAGGACAACAATATTTTTTTAAAAATCCTGTCAAAAGTGGCTAGTTAAAAAGTCGAATTTTGTCTGAAGAAAAAAAAACAAACACCGAGCACAATAATTTCGTTACTTTCGTTACGAAAGTCGGAACAAAAGACGTTTTTTGAGATAGCTGATAGTTAGTTTCGTGGTCTTTTAACGATCCAATAGTGTCCGAGTTATTTATAGCGGTGAGTGTGCGGATCATTACAGTTGATCGAATCAGTATTGAGTTTTCGGGCGAAATAGCGTTTTTCTTAATTTTTTGTCGTGAGGAAAGGTGTCTCGGTTAAGCGATGTAGAATGATTTTGGTGGGTTCATTATTGTTCCGACTTTCGATATGAAAGTAACGGAATACTTGTGCTCGGGTGGATTTTTTTTCTTCAGACAAGTTTCGACTTTTTGACTTGTTTGGGACAATTATCGCGCGATATATTTCACGCTATTATCACGTAAGCGGAGATTTAATCTGTCCTTGAAATTGTTGCAAATTGGTTGAAAGAAGCTTATTTGCCATAATTGATTTGTTACAAGGAGCGAAATCTATTTTTTTTGTACTTTAAATGGCGTGTGGTGCGATGATTTTCATAGACAAAATTTCAAATTTTAGAATTTTATTTTTCTTTTTATTTCATTTCATTTAATTTTTCTCGTGTTATTTATCTTATTACTGCTCCATAAACCCTTAAAGGCGGTCGGAACATTCAGGGCTTCGCCCTGATACGTGCACTCTTGTTTCCTATTCGTAATGATTCTAGAGGATTATTAAAATTTTTAAATAAATCCAGTTGTAGGTCTGGGTATGAATTATGCTCGAACAATTTTAAATCATATTTGTTAGGTACATGTACATCATATAGTAAATACCCTACGAAAAGTGGAACGTGACATTGAAGAAGAAAATTACGTGCTGGTTTTCGATGATCATAATACTGCCTTGTCTGCCTGGTGCTGGTGATTTTGTATAGGTGAGGTAACTGTGGATTTTGTGACAATGATGTTACTGAGTGAGTAGTTGCATTAGTAGTAATTGTATTTACAAAAGTTGTATCATTAAAAATGTTCCGAAGCGCCTCTTTTTTCAGTTATCAGAGTTAGAGGTAGTGTCCGTTGAATATGAAGTTAGGTGTAGGTTTTTATCATTTCAATTAGAAAATCCGATGATTATCTCTTTGATCCAAAACATCCCAAGCAAGCCAGACGATTTTAATGTTTGTCATCAAAAAATATGTTCGGGCATTAAGCATAAAAATCTTTTAAGCATGAAAATAAATTATAATTTATCTTTTAAGCATAAATAAAAATTAAGCATAAAAAGTTTGGTGGGCATACATAAAAATCTTTCAGATGATACAGAGAATTCGTTCAAAAAACGTTGTTTAGAAAATCCGCAAAAATCAGCATAAAACACTCTCTTAAGTAAAATGTTCTTTTATGGCGTATGGCCAACAAGTAGGCATGTCATACAGTAGACACGCCGTTAGCCAATCAGAAACGAGATAAGAAAAGAAACGTATGAAATAATTACCTAATTTGATTCTGATTGGCTTATGACCAGCCTACTTTTTGCTTCTTAAACTTGTTTCACACATCCAATCATTAGTTGTTTATATTTTTTGTAGATTTGAAAAACTGAAGTTTTAATTTTAATGTTCCAGATAATGAATAAAATTGAATGGACAAAAACATCAATTTTGTTAATTTAATTCTAATTTGGTATACAGCAAAGTCGCGTTAATCTGAAGATTCGGGTTTTTGTATTTAAAAATATTTGTGAACGCAAATACGGTAAAATTGTAAAATGAAATAACAACAAAAGATGGCTAGTCGTTTTTGTTTGTGCTTGAAATTGATTTCTGTAGACGCATCCAGGTAAATCTATGATGAACTTACTTGAACTGCACTTGAACTAACCTACGGCGTTGCAACTAAGGTTCCTAAAAGTGACAACGGGCCACTCGAAGAAGAAGTTGACGCTCTCGCTGACCGATTGGCCGAATCGGTTGGATGCATACACTGATAAGGTATAGAGATTGAAATCAGCTTTCCCAGTCCAGTCCAAGTAACATAAACCACTACTCCTGCTACATCCCCGTGACCCTGGAAACATTTTGGCACTCCGAACAAACGTTTTGTAATCATAAAAAAGGCTGCAGGGCTGCGGACCTTCAAAAAAAGTTGACGTGTTTCAAAATCATTTTTCAGCCGTTTTTCAGTTTTTTGTTCATTTTGAAAATCAACTTTTCCTCTTTTTTTTCTTCAAAAGCTTATTGGAAAACATTAAAAACAAATAAAATACTATCAGAGAATTGTTCATTGGAATATTTCAATTCTAGGAGTAACTAATTTCTTTCTAAAAAGTTTCAAAAGAGTCTTCAAAAAATTGAAGAAAATTTACAATAAAACAAGGACAGCCGATTACTTTGCAAAGTACATTTTTTTAAATTAATGTGGTTTTTTCTGTGTGGTGTGATGAAAAGATCTAAACAAAAAACTAGAACTCACACAAACTCGAAAGTCAAAATAGAATAAGCAAATTGGACAACAAAATGAATAGAAAACCAAAAAAAAATCAATTTGAATAAAAAATTCCTCCCAATTTACCTTACAAAATTAAGGAGATGCGTGAGCCAAAAAATGGATGAGAAGTTCTATCCTGGTCTAAATCTTCCGAAGAATGACCAGGTCATTCATTTGAGATACGGAGTTGCTTTTTGTCTCATAATTAGACAATTTTTTTCTATATTCTTTTGTCTTATAATCAGACATAAAGAGGGTTCTCAAGTTTCGTAGGCCTGAAAATAATGCACACCCATTAATTTGTTTCCAAGAAAGGAACAGACTCGATTTTAATTTACGCAACTCATAACTCATAAGAATAAAAAACCCATCTCTGGAAGAACACCAATCTCGTAGAAATAATCTTCAAAGTGAGTATTGGCATCATTAAGTTCCTGAGTGAAAAGAAATCAAGCATGTGGAGTTTTTACATACATCCAAACAAGTTTGGATTTCATACATAAAATAAAACGTATGCCAAATTTCTCCATTCTTTCAAACTTGACACTGGTTTATAAAATGCACAAAAATTGTATATTTTTTTCTAATTTTAAGCCTAAAAACACTTTTTCTACTATTGCTACACGCAAACCACTTGAATAACCTGAAGAAAATAAATAAATCAAATCCTTGTGATTTTCTAAAACCAACCGGCGATATTGGCCGAAGGATTCGGAGACAAGTTTAGATCAATGTCGTCAATCAGTCCAAGAAGTTGTATCTGGACAGTAATGTTTTGAGTCGCATCGGTTCCAGTGATAGGATACTTTCTAATAGTCTTGGAACCAAACTCAAGTTTTCGGTAGGGCACAGAAGTAATTTTAGTGAACCAGGTTCCAGGCATTCCCAAATAGAAAGGCCTCAAAGTTATGGACACGTCACAGCCTTCTGCAATGTTTGCAATTAAACACGGCTCATTTGGGTCACAATTTTCTACGTCATTAAAATCAGCGTTCTCGCAATATTTTTCCTGGTAATCATCCACGGGATCTTTATTGAAATCATAATACTCATTCGCAAAATAATTCCACCCGCTGATCGTGTAGTTGGAAATCTGGCCGACAAAAGACGGTCTTAAGTGCATCAGACCAAGCTGCAGGTTTGTCTCAAGTTTAAACCCAGTGAAAAAACCAATTCTGTTTATTTCGTATACCGTCTCATAGCTATCTTTTTCACCTTTTACTGTTACGAACAAGAATGCATCGCCGTTAGCGAGATTGGCAGAAAAATGAAGCTTGACTTCTTTTCCGAACGGTACTTCTTCATTTAAGATAACAGTCTCGGTTTGCTGGATAACCGTGTACACTATACTATCACAGGTGCCCAATGTTCCAAGTACGTAATCCACAGAAGCAGAGCTCTGTATGCTTTTTCTTAGAAGCAAAGTCTCGGCGCATTGAGACACAAATTCGACAGTGGAACTCTCTCTTTCGCTACCTCGGCCGAAAACTACAGCGGTTATTTCATACCTTGTTCCGGGGTCGATCGGAGCGAAACTCCATTCCATCATTTTGTCTAATTCAAACATGTTTGACGTCATTCGAGAAGGCTGAGGACTGATTGTCATTTGAATCTTTTCGTACGAGCCGTATAGCATCACATTGCCTTTAACGGACGACGTGGTAACGTCGTTGACATAAGTTTCAGGCCAGGCTACTTTAGTCTCAGCTGTGATGGCCCAAACATCGAATATTAGATAGTCAGAATCCAGGGACCAGAACTCTACGGTGTACTGAGTTCCAGGATCCAAAAAATGGGTAGTTAAGTGTTCAGTGTTTCCCGAAAAAGGCATAAAAAATGAATCCCGATTGCCAATATTTATTGCAGCGAGAGCGTTTTGCGACGCAAGAGCGTCGAGAAACCACGATACGTCAATTGAAGTGTTTGTAATTTTGGTAACATTCGCGGCCAAAATTCGAGGTTCAACGTGACCTGAAAACATCATTTTGGTAAAAAGAAATTTTTTATCATGATTCAAAGCAAACAAAATAAAAGCACAGAAGATAATTCAGTTAGATATTTTCACCTATAACACTCATTTTAGTTTCAGTAACAATTAAATAAGATGTTTCAGCCAGGGCGGATTTATGGGGGGGGGGGGGGGGGTTGGACGCTTTTTTCTTCTCAGGGATTCGACCCCCTGCCGACCCAAAGGGTCCCCTTTATACTATTTTGAAATAACCATTTTTAGTGACAGACCCTAAAAATTTTCTAAAGGCGCCTTTGGCGCCAATATATATCAAAATATAATTTAAACGGTGCAGCGATTTTTTTTAATCAAAATTTTCCAAAAACTGCCTAAAAAACGGCTTTTCGGCTTGTTCTTTCAAAATTTTGCCTGCGGCACAAACATTTTGGCCAAAACAGGGTCTTTGTAGTGCTTTAGGAGAGCTCGGAAAATCAATTTGATTGACCTTAAAAAATCGACAAAAATTTTCGATTTTTTTTTTAAATCCGCCCTCTCGAGAAAATCCTAGATCCGCCCCTGGTTTCAGCTGATCATCAGCATAATTAGATTAAGATCTTCTTACGTCCGAAAATGAGGGTTCCACAAACGTAAGTACTAGCTGTTGGAGGAACTGCATTACTCTCTTCTCGGACGGGTTCTGCAATTTTCACATACTTAGCAGAGGTTAAGCCATCGCAGCCAATCACAGAAAAGTTAGAATTGGTTGCGTCTTCGGGACACCCACAGTAAGTACATACATCACCTTCAGTGCAGTAATACACCTCGAGATCAGCAAACGAGCTCAAATCTGAAATGATACAAGCGTTTTGTATTAAGAAGACTCCCTAATTATTACGATTGCCCTTTTCAAATGTTTTGGGATTGAAAGAAAAAGTAATTGGAGAAATTGGAGAAAAATCGAGCCAGAAAGTCCACCTTTTGAAAAATTTGCAACCCACCCCTAAAATCCACACACTCAAAAGTTAACTAGATTAATTGCAACTATTTCTTTGTTACATTTTGCAAAAAAAAGTCATTATAAATGTAGTTTAGGAGGTCTAGATAGAGCTAGGACATCTAACCAGTAGGTGCACTCGGTGCCAGCAGCATTACATGAGACACGTACTTCGGCTCATCGAACGACAGTTTCAACTCTGCGTTGTTGCTTGTCGGCATATTGGCCGATTTCGACATTGCTAAACATGAATGTGGATTTTGTGCTTCCTCTCCTCCTATGTTGGATATTTCGGACTCCCAGTTGGTATTTGAGCCGAAATAATCAGTAGCAGAAGACTGCAGTCGTTTTTTGCCGGTTGGAGAAACTACAGAACAAAACAAATGGAACCAGTTTGAAACAAGTATTTATAACATATCCACTTATATTCTGGATAACTATCACCGTAAAATACTTAGAGTAACCAATCATGATTCATAAACTGAATCTTAAAATAATTTGTAAGGCTGAAACTATTTATAGTTTCAGCAAGAAAAAAAATTAACTCAGCAAACAGTTGCTCTTCGTCTCCTCTAACCTCGCAAGAATAACACTATATACTGATCTATTGAGACTAGGAAAAATGAGAAAGATCAAGATCAATCTATCCGGCTGAAAATGAGATAGCGTGACGAACAGATGGCGTAGCGTATCCGAAATTACTCTATGAGAAAGCCACCCGGACTTAGTTTTGTCTGGTGTGACCAAACGAGTTTCGAGCAGACCTATACTAATTTGGATTAAGAAAAGACAAACATAGAACAGACAAATTAGATTAGAAAAAAGTAACAAAATGATTAACCAAATCGAAAATAATATTAGCTTTTTTCCACGTCTCACTAAGTCGAATCAAATCCAGCCATTATTAATGCTGAAGCCAGGTCACATCCAGGGCAAGAAATCGAACCTCTTCATCATGACACAAAAAAGCAGGCTACAAGGATTGTTTACCTACAAGACTATTTATGCAGTAAAATTCTACTCATTAAATTGAACGGTAAAAATAGAGCTTTAAATTTCTATATAAAGCAGTAAATTTAAATACAATCTACCATTTGTTTTATAAACAAAAACCTCGTCGACGACAAGTTTTCCAACTACCTCAAAACCTTGATATCAGCAGAACTTTTGTAAAAACTTTTAAAAATTAAATCTATGTTGAATTTACAAAAAAAAACTAGTTAGTAAAAACAGTTTATGGTTATTTTTGAATAAGTTTTTTGATTCCTTGCTTCTCGAGGACCTTCTCTGTTATTAGTCTTCTTCATCTAACACAAACAACAGATTTGAAACGATTAACTTAAATTTAATTCAGGATCATCAAAACCTTTCTTGGATATTTGATCATTTTTTAATCCATAAAGTTTCAATTGAATATTCTCAAGGATTTTTGTATGTTGAATTTACAAAAAAGAAAACTAGTTAGTAAAAACAGTTTATGGTTATTTTTAAATAAGTTTTTTGATTCCTTGCTTCTCGAGGACCTTCTCTGTTATTAGACTTCTTCATCTAACACAAACAACAGATTTGAAACGATTAACTTAAATTTAATTCAGGATCATCAAAACCTTTCTTGGATCTTTGACCATTTTTTAATCCATAAAGTTTCAATTGAATATTCTCAAGGACTATCCTTGTTTATCTTAAAACCTTAATTTTATCAGGGGCTGCCCTTAAACTTCAATCTTTAACCTTAACCTTCAATCAGGGGCTACCCTTGGATCTTAAAACCTTAACTTAAAACACAAATCCTAAACTTTCATTCACAACTGTAATTTTGTTTTTATTTAAAACTTAGATCGTCAAGGCTTGCATTGGAATATTGAATAATTTCACCCACACCTCTTGAAACTAGTGTCTAACGACCTCAAACTTCGATTCACACTCCAACCCTTATACAAGATCCAAGACTAACTCAAGAATTCATTTAACTTTAATGAAATTTGCAAACCTACTTACAGTTTAGACAGCAGGTAAAAATCTTGCTTTACCAGATTTACTTAGTAGAAAACGCCACCAGATTTACTTAAAAGAAAAACAACCGTAAAAAGACCACCAAATTGTTTTTTTTTGTGCAAAAGATGAGATATCAGCAAGCAAATAAGCAGTTAAAAATGACACCAACAACAAGCAGATTAATCACCTAGAACAATTTTCATTTTGTTTAGAATGTCAAAACAACCAGTATGAAGTCAATTTTACAGGAAACGAGACATTTAAACCCATACCATATTCCTCGTGTATAAAAACAATACTTAATTAGGAACCAAAAAATCAACTCCTCAACGGAACAAAGTATTTCCATTAATAAAAAGAAAGATCTAATAGATACAATAGTGTCATCTGGATCGTCAGAAATTAAAAAAAAAACACATTAATTAAAGTATTTGAGTTAATAAACCCTATTGACAATATACCTCTATCATCTCGGTTTTTTGAAAGTTTTTCCTGCCATGCACAGTTGAACTATGACCGACCTATTTAAAAAATTTCGAAACCTCGACCATGTCATTCGCAAAATGAAATCTTGGCATAAAAGCAAATGTTTTTAGATACCTTTTTTTGAGGTTTTTCAACTATTTTTGCCGGGAGATCAAGTATACTAAGGTTTAGTACTTTGTCGTCCAATTTTTACAAAATCTTCGTTTCTCAAACTTTGGCTGTTCATCGCGACAATATTACAAGTTCAATTGAGGTATCCCAAGAAGCTGCACACGTAAAACAACTCATTGCTTGAAAACATAATATAAGTTCAAGTAGCAGGACTCGATGGTTTTATTTTATTTTATAGTTCGGAGCACCCTTTTTTCTTGTGGAATCCAGTGAAACTTGTTTTGGCCATTGAACCCGAATTCCAGAAAAAATTGCTGAATTCTATTGGCATTTGATGGTTCTTGCGGCTGGATTCCAAAACTTGCCAGCGGATTTTGAATTCGACAAGCTGTTTTGGGATGAGAAATATAAACTTGTGCGGCTGATACATTCGATGAGAAGTTTAGACTGTTTTTTAAGCCTTTTCTGCAAATCTTCAAGCATAGACAGATCTTTAAACATAGACAACTCAAAAGACAGCGTAATAGCGTTTGGGTCCTGAGTTTTGAAATTTGATTTTTTAAATAAACAAGACTGCTCGTATCAGGGCGAAGCCCTGAATGTTCCGACTGCTTTTTAAGGTTTATGGAGCAGTTTTAACCTTACAAAAATTAAATGTTAAAAAATAAAAAGAAATTTTTTTTCTAAAATTTCAACTTTTTTATGAAAATCATCACACGCAATATAAAGTACAAAACAATGGATTTCGCTCCTTTTAGCAAACCAATAATGGCAAGTAAGCTTCCGTCAACCAATTTGGAACGATTTCTAACACGGATTAAATCTCCGCTTACGCTTAAATAGCGAGAAACATATCGCGCGTTAATTGTCCCAAATTGGCCAAAATGTCAATCTTTAAACCCCCATAACTTTACGAAAAATAATCACAGGTGAATTTTTTTTTCAAATTTAAGCTCAAGACAACACTACTTTTCTAATGATATAAAAAAATCCTTTCAAAAATAGCTAGCTAAAAAGTCGAAGTTTGTCTGAAAAAAAAAATCACCACGAGAACAAATTTTCCGTTACTTTTTTTACGGAAGTCAGAACAAAAATGTGTTTGTCGAATGCAATGAAAAGTTGCAGAACCAATTAAAAAGTCAGGAAATCAGCGAAAAAAATAGCGTAATGAATCTGGAATCCACTGACACATGCTGGAAAGCAGTGACGTTCAATGAAATTCGCTGCAAATTCGGAACACAAAATTAATATGCTAAATCAATTGTCTCTGAATTCCACGTTGCCGCTGGGTTCTACATTTGTTCGCGCTAGCTTAAAGACTGCTTCTAGTATATATTAATACAAGACTGCTCGTATGGCGGCGAAGCCCTGAATGTTCCGATGCCTATTAGGGTTTATGGAGCAGTAATAACATAAATAGCATTAAAAAAAATAAATGTGATGAAATAAAACAAAAAAAAACCTAAAACTTATAGTTTTGTTTATAAAAATCATCTCCCCACACGCCATATAAAGTACAAAAAAATAGATTTCGCTCTTTGCAACAAATCATATATGGCAAATAAGTTTCTTTCAACCAATTTGGATCAATTTCAAGGACAGATTAAGTCTCCGCTTACGTGTTAATAGCGCGAATTATATCGCGCGATATTTGTCCCAAACAAGTCAAAAAGTTGAAACTTGTCCGAAGAAAAAAAAATCCACCCGAGCTCAAATATTTCGTTAATTTTGTATCGAAAGTCGGAACAATAATAAACTCACCAATATCATTCTAAATCACTTAACCGAAACACACTTCCTCACAACAAAAAATTAGGAAAAAACGCTACTTCGCCCGAAAACTCAATACTGAATCGATCAACTGTTATGATCCGCCGCATACTCACCGCTATTAAAAACTCGGACACTAGTGGATCGTATAAGAATCATGAAACTAACTATCAACTATCTCAAAAAACTTCTTTTGTTCCGACTTTCGTAGCGAAAGTAACGGAAAATGTGTGCTCGGGGTGGGTTTCTTTTCTTCAGACAAAGATTTTCGACTTTTTAACTAGCCATTTTTGACAGGATTTTTTAAAAAGAATTGTTATCCTTAGCTTAAAATTGAAAAGATATTTACCTGTGATCTTTTTTTTTAAATTATGGGGGTTTAAAGGCTGCCCTTTTTTTGCCAATTTGGGACAATTAACGCGGGATATAATTTGCGCTTTTAACGTGAAAGCAGAGATTTAATTCGTCTCAGAAATCGTTCCAAATTGGTTGAAGAAGCGTATTTGCCATAATTAATATTTTACTAGGAACAAAATCTATTACTTTGTACTTTATATGGCGTGTGCGGGGATGAACTTCACAAAAAATTTAAAATAAAAAAATCATTTTGTTCTATTACATTTAATTTGACTCAAAAATAGTCAAATATTCCGTTACTTTCGTATCGAAGTCGGAACAATAATTCCATTCGATGCATTTCCTAACTAATTGAAGGTATAGACTGAGAAAATTGATTTTTAAAATATTTGGCTGAGTTTTTGCAGCTCACGGTGGATCAAATTTTGTAGATTAAGAAAAGAAATGATTTATAGTCTCACGATGGACACCGAACAGATCGATTTCGCAAAGAGCTATGTCCAATCCCGACTGCGTTTCCGTGCCAGAGACCAGCTCTTCCCCGTGTATTTCCACCTCAACAGTCTTCCCCTCTTTATCACACCTGACGTAGATCCACTGACCTCTCTTCACATTCGAAGTCATGACATCTTGACATTTTTCACAATTTCCGTACGAGTCGAAGTCACACACGGTCACGTTGATAGTTGATCGGTTGAGGCCGTCTAAAATTAGTTCAAAAATACTGCTTAATAAAAAAGGTATTTGGAAAGCTGTATTCTTGTTATATAGCTCTACATTCATGTATGAAGGAATCGAGCTTATTTCAAAAGAAAAGTTATATACCGTTTTTTTTAACAGAGATGTTATTAATTATTCGGAAAAGCAATATTTTGAAAAAACACACAAATTTTGAGCGAAGTTCGAATCTCACAAAAAATCCCAGAATGCCTTTTTGTAGAGCTCACGACCACTTTGATTTTTGGGAATCAGCAAAATGAGTCTGGTTGATTTTCAGTAAATACTGGTCGAAAGCTTACAAATGCAAAATTTGATTTAAAAAAGGTAGAGAAAAACTTCCACTTCCAAGATGCAGCAACCTCTTTTTCAATTATAAGTTCTTTAGGTTAAAAAACGACTAATTCTGCGAAGCTAGGCTGCTATATTTATTTCTATAAACTTTATATACTTTCAATATTTTAAATTTTTTTTTTAAGTTCCGGTTCTTTTCAATTGAACACAAATTCAAATGAAGGAGTGTTTGAAGTTTCAGTTAAAAATTGGCCATAAGTCCTAAAAATTTTAATCCCGAGTTTTGATGATATGTTTGAAAACTTTACAACAAACTAATGAAGAATCGATGATTTTCAGATTTAGGACAACTTATAAATTTTCTTGGATTGTCTCAAATTGCACAACACACTCAAAACAAGGCTTTCCAAATAATTATCGAATGTGCTCCAAGCTCAGATGTAGTTCGAAGTTAGTTAAATGAATAAATGTTCCGACTTCCGAAGAAAGTGACCGACTATCTTGCTATTTTCTTCTTCCGAACAATTTTGACATTTAACCAGATTTTATCTCAAAACTTTTGATATCCTGAGCTTAAAATTAGAACGATGATTTTTATAACAATTTGACTTATCAGGGATTCGATTTTGCCACTGTAATTTGGGATAACAAACGCCCGATATACTTTGTGCTATTAAAGCGTTAGCTGCAACTTATGCCGGCTCACAAATTGCTTCAAAATTAAGCGTGGCATGTAAGTTGTTTTATTAAAACTATAAGATGTGCTAGTTCATTCTTTTGTTTAATTATCAACTTTTACTTGTTTTTTTTTTTCATTATTTCAATATGATTTCTGTAAACACTGGGGAAATTCACAGTATCTCTAGGCCGGCCTCTCTCGCTATCGTCCTTCGTACCGCCGCAATACGTTCCCTTTAATACTGCGGTCAGTGGGGTCTAATTCCCAGTACTGTTTACAATATGGAAGGGTTCAATTGGCGGTTGGCTGCTCTGTACTGCACTATGTTGCTTGCCCCGTGATCTGTACTCTTTCGACTGTATCTCACTCGTCAATCAATAATCGATCGCAACAACAATTTCAATAATAAATATGAATTAAGAAATGAATATAACCAAACACAGAATAGCCTATAATCGGCTGAAATATAAATTAACCGTTCAATTAAGGAAAAGGTCTGCGATTCTTAATAACTAACAAGCTGCCTCCAGCAGTTTATCAATTTTCCAATCTCCACTATCTTTCCTGAAATACCCTCTGAACTCCACTCTATTCCCCAAAGTGTTTTTTAAAAAATCACCTAACCCTACAAATTTACAACTTTCATGAACTGCGTAAAGGTCGTCAGGATCGTTCATACTTTAATCTATTCACCCTGAGTTTTAGTTAGAGATCCGACATTCCGTATAAGTCTTAACATATGACTATGTGCCTCCTACGCAGCGTTCCACTTCATAACTTCAACGCGATCGCATTAATCTAAATGCCAAGTTCAAAATGCCAATCAAAGCTATGCTGAACAAATAAAAAAGCAGTTTCAACTTAATTCAAGTTATGTTTACATATCAAAAAGCCCAAGGTTTTTATTTATTTTTCCCGTATCTTTTCCCTTTCCCATGGCAAAACCCCAGGGAACTTAATTTCCCGTTCATCATAATCCAAAAATTCCCATACATAACCTATTCAAATTGGTTCCATTGACGCTTTTCTATTCATAGTTCATTCAGCAAACCAAATTGAGCCCAATGTTTGCTTAGCTTACTCTTAATAGTTCCGACACTATACCATAACTCATTATGCCAAGATATTCCATCAATTTCAAAGAAATGCCTAACCAATTCCACATACAGGCAAATCACTAATCCCAGATTCATAAGATAGTCAATTAACCCTCCTAACTACCAAGCATGCGAATTGGGCTAATTTTTGGTGTTAATTTAAAGGGTTTTGGTCTAAAACCCAAAAGGTCAAATAAAGGTCACCCATGGGTCACCCGGGGATCAAATCCCGTACAATGGATTCGGGGTCACATGAGGGTCATGCCTAAGTTTCATCCATATCCAACAATACTTCCCAAGTTATTCCATTCTTTAGGTCCATTATCACACTTCCCAGAAAAGGTCAATTAGAACCGGAAAGGTCAACTGGGAACTAAGATTTACAGGGACCCTTTTTTCAGGGTGGGTCATACAGCACATGAGTGCCATAAAATCGATATGCCCACGCTCATTATTTTACAACAACCGCCTCTTAGCACCTCCAGGGGATGATTTTCCGAAGTGCTAATAGCCCGTGCCATTATCACCCAATCGGGTCATCATCCTAACATACGATTGACCATCTTTGTAAGTTTCAGAAATAGCCTCCGGAAGTTGGTTGGGGTTTGTTTGTTTAGAGCGTAAATCGGGCCGGGGTGACCTTGGGATTCCGAAACTCCAAACTTAAACTTCCCTCACCCAGGGCTACCTACTACATACATAAAAGTGAACTCACTCGGACCAATAGTTAAGGATTTCAAGCGGTGCCATTTGCACTTCCGGGAACAGTTATCACTCAATCCCGGGGGCCGGGTGGGTCCGGTTCTTTGCATGCCCGGGTCAAATCATCCCTAGTATCACTCCACAGAATTGGGGGGGGGGGGGGGGGTTTCTCGGAGATATTCCACTCCCCATTTTCATTTAAGAAAGGGATTAATTCCTCGCTATCTGAGCAAATACATAGCTACTTTAATATTTACCGGTCGATCATCAAGTTGCTTAGTAAACATTCAATTTACCTTATTACATATTAATCATTTCATCATAGCTACCATTGATTTTGGAACATGTACCAAAATTTTCCAATACTTTCAAGCCGATTCCAAAGGGAAGGATGATATTGTCCGCCCGCTTTCCCGTAACCAACGGAAAAATTTCCGCTTAAAGATAGAGAAATTTTCCATTCTCGATCGTACACTATGCCGAGACGGGAAAATCGTTCTACACGGACTTGACGTCACTCCCGTGCTACGCAACTTACACAAATCGGCAATAGAACACCAGGGAAACTGCCGTGGATTACATCGAGAAGCACATTCGAGGTATTTTATTGAATGGAACCTCCTAGTTAGTTGCCAAAATGTCTGCTTCGAGTGTATAGAGTGTGCAGAAGCCAGGATGATTTTATCTGACGAGGTCCTCATGCGGCACTTAACGGCCAAGACACGCGAACGAATATGCCGAACGATTATGACGCCGGTGAAGAAAGCAAAGACAAATTGTTCGCATAAACCTCGCGTCCCTGTCTTCGTAGCCGGGAAGAAGCCTATCGCCACCCAGGACGGCGATTCGCTAACGTCCTTACCAACGAACCAATTACAGTTGAAGGTGCCTGCACTCTTTCTTCCTGTTTACTGGATTGCGTAGATTACCTCATCACCGGGAGAAAGGTACAGTTGTACCGCCTGCAACGGACCTTAGAGGATCGGCAATCGCTCGAACGAAAGCGGTTAGACTCCTTCTATTACCCTTATCACGATACCGGCAAAACGTTTCTATCCCGGGGTCATCGATTCCGACATGCACCTGCTCGCCAAAATGTTTGGGGTACATATATACGAGTACCAGACCAACCTAAGTCCCCCTAAATGGAATTACATCGCGGGGAATAAACACGGCCAAAACGGGGAGGAAGCTATCTACCTCCAATACTGGCTGCAACTTGAGGGGGTCTATAAGGGGGAGGGACATGTAGCCATCATTGTTGTGATGCGTCCAAAAATAACATAATTTCACCCAAAAATCACATCAGAATTCATCATTCATATTATTACCTATATCCACATATTACCTCATTTTCATCCTGTTATTTAATTTCGACCAATTTGGGTATCCATTATTCACATGCTTCGATTCGTTCAACTCTTGCAAATATTTACTACGAATTTTTACCAGTTTATAGGACGTTCGAAATTGAGCTATGCGGATCATTCAAAATTGAATCATCGCTACAATCAATTGCATCAAAACGTGAGTAAGCTTCGTTATAACTTTCAATAATTTGTTTGGAATAATTTCTAACCTGTGTTTTAGCCCACGTTTTCACTAACCTAGAAACAACGGCACTTGTCCTATTTAGACTCACGATCAAACTACCAATGTCCCGAAGTAAATTCGTCTGGAACCTTGATCCTATAAGAGGTTCTGCCCGGATTTCCCTTGCTTCTTCTGGGTCCGGACCCGAGAAGCCGGAGGAACTTCCACGCCAGGTGTCCCAAATCAAAGTCGCTGCCCACATGGGGAATACCAGGGGCGATTATGGCGTGTCACCCCTCTTTATCCGGTTCGTGGGGGAGGAAGAGCTCGACGAAACGACTCCCTATTCGGGGGGAGCCCGGTTGCGCGGGATTTAGCCAGCAAGCTGGGCGAGTTTGCAAAGAACCTGGGCCCTCGCCGCAGGGTATTAGCTGGAGATATCGGGGAGGTTTGCTCCCTCATAGAGCTGGTCTCGGAAAACTATGAGAGATTTCTATGAACTGGAAACTCCCCTAAATTTCTATAAATTTGATGTCGAACGATTTTAATAATTCAATCTATCGGTAAAGTATTTTCCGGCTATATAAGTTTAAGTAGAATTACCTATTCTACAATTTCTGTTTCACTGTTAATAAAGAATGTCAGAATATCCTTAATTTGAGCAGTCGAGCAGTCATGATTGAAAACTTAAATCTTAATCGAGGAAAGTGCGGAATATTTTGGTATGGTTATTTTTATTCTTCAAATATCGACTTCTAACTGATAGGTTTTGAGTAAACGTTTGTTTACCATCTAAAATTTAAGTTTGTTTACCATCTAGCACCTGCAATTTAAAAATAAAATGTACCGGTGATCACTTTTTGCTAGAGTATAGTGGTTTGAATATGGGACTACTTTGACGACAAATATTCAAATTGCGATAGTTAATCGGCAAAATTTTTCGTCTTATTCACGCCTGAAGCGACCATTAAATCCTTCTACAATGAACTGACGCAATCAGTTTGCTTTTATTATAACATATCAGAACCACGGGCGTCTACAAACCGCTGACTTAGAGTACCCTTTCGAACCGTTCTAGGGCGGTTCACTTGGAAAATGTTAATTTTTGGGGCATTACAACCACTTGAAAACTGCACCAAGGTTACGTTCCTTCACGATTCATGGTTGGGGTCTGTTTGTAAAACGTCTCACCAGGAAAATCAGGGTCGTATGTGTTGAGTAGAGCCAACGTCTCCACGTAAACAGTGCTCAGAAAACGCAGTGAGATCGTCTCAGGAAGCTCTGGAAGGATATTCATCACATAGCAGCCATCAATGCGATTTGAAGCGGTGTTTTGATCACGCAGAACAGACAAATCATCTATGCAAAAAAATTTAATTAAGGCCAACAAAAATGGCTACTGATCTATTAAAAGTAATGGTCTGTCGTTTATAATTTAAGTTGGTTAGTTTTTTAAAATTTGCGCTCATGATGAATACTCGTAAAGCGAAAATGAGACCGAAGAAGAAAAAATCTGGACCAAATCATCAGTATTTGTGAGGGGCACATTTCATAATTCTTAGTTTTATTAATGCTAATCTATTTCATTTTCAAAGATGTCCTGAGCAATTCAGAGCAATATTTTTGATTAAATGAGCCGAAACACGAGCAATATTTTAAACCAATTTCCCTCAAAAAGTGACAATGGTTATAGCTAAAATAAATGTCTTATCAAAGGAGCGACGCTTCGGGCGTTTATTGGGTTTGTCATTTGGAGTTTTACGGAACCCGTAACAGCAGCTATTTCTTTTGCAGTTTGGGTATGTGAATGGTGGGGTGAGAACATCCTAGAAGGCGGACCTGTGCGAGCTATCAACTGAAGTGTTATTTTGCTCCCAATTTTTGGCTTTTTTCTTTAATTTAAATTTCAAAATTTAATAGCTAAAGGTATTGGACCTCTGCGTCTACAAGTAGTTGGTAATTGTTTCAACCCAGTGTCTTCTTGTTCTTTGAGATGCCTTTTTTTAACACAGAGATGCCTTTTTTTAATACAAGCTCGAGTAATTGGTTCCTAAGCGGCAAAATTTTCGAGAAATTACTTGCAGTTTGTTTTGTCAATAAATTCGTGTCAATCAAAATCTCTGACACATGGGCGGATCTAGGATTTTCTCGAGGTACGTCAAAAAAAATTCAAAACTTTTGTCGACTTTTTTTAGGTCGACCAAATTGATTTTCCGAGCTCTCCCAAAGCAATAATAAGACCCTCGGCAAAATGTTGCGCCGCAGGCAAAAAATTTTGTTGAAAAAACGGGCCAGAAAAGGCGTTTTTGGTCACTTTTCGGCAAATTAGTATATATTGGCGCTGAACGGGCCTTTAGAAAAGTTTTAGGGTACGTCACCAAAAATGGATATCTCAAAATAGTACAAAGGGGGGACACTTTGGGTCGGCAGGGTGTCGAATCCTTCACAAAAACTCAAATTTTGCATGCGTTTTGAAAACTTATAAGTACAAAAAGCATTTTGAAAACTTATAAAGACAAAAAACTTATAAACACATAAATTGCATACCATACAGCATTCATATATGAAAACTATATGATACGCATTTTTCCGACCGAAATTAAAATTATCTTTTTGACAGTAAGTTGATTTTGTTTTCCGACCAAAACTAAAATAGTTTTTTTGACAATAAGTTGTTCTCAATCATTGAAAACCCCTATTAAACTCATTTAAATTTGCCCTAACAAAGTTTCAATTGATTTTTGAGCTTTCTAATTTTTCTCTAAAAAATGGTAACCGTACAATTTGATATATGAAAGCTATATGACAAGCATTTTTCGAACAAAACTAAAATCATGTTTTTAATAGTTAAATTGCTCTTTATCATTGAAATTTCAATAACCTCATTTGTAATTACCAAAACATGTTTTAAGAGAAATTTTTGAAAAAATATATTCTATAACTAATTGCTTATACAACATTTTTCATCCATGAAAATTGTGTGACAAGCATTTTTTCATCCAAAAGTTTTTATCATTTTCCACATTTTCAAAAAAAATTAAATGAGCCAAATAGAATTAAATGTGTATTAAAAATCTTTATTATTTTTATTATTAAAACAGTTTTTAAATTTTGTATCAAAAAATTGATGACAAGCATTTTTTCCATAGACACCATATATGAAATAGTATGATAAGGGTTTTCCTTCTATGAAATTCAACCCGGAAGCTCATTATCAGTCAGGCAAAAACAATAGGGGTTTCTGGATGTGAAGAGAAAGAATGCACTTTTAAGTTTTGGTGTCTCTAAGATGTTTATTTTCAGTCAACCAACATTAAATTTGTTTAAAGGCGCCTTTGATGGGGAGCTTTCGTGAACTAATCTTTCAAAAAATTTCCTGTTGTGCTGAGTTTTGCAGCTCATAAATCCCAAAATTGAGGGGGAGCTTTCGTGGTCTATTTGCATGTTTTGCAGAATTTCAAAAAATTGCTCGTTGTGCAGAAATTTTCATCAACCAGAGTTGACATCCATGCATGGAGAAGGCTTATCATACAATTTCATACAACAAAAATCTTTATCATACAATTCTATACATCAAATTTTTAGAGAAAATGCTTGTCATACAATTTTCATACATTGTCGAAAAATAATAGAAAAAGATGGCAGGGTGTCGAATCCTTCACAAAAAGTCAAATTTTACATGCATTTTGAAAACTTATAAAGACAAAAAGCATTTTGAAAAGTTATAAATACAAAAAAATTATAAACACATAAATTGCATACCATACAGCATTCATATATGAAAACTATATGATACGCACTTTTCCGACCGAAATTAAAATTATCTTTTTGACAGTAAGTTGATTTTGTTTTCCGACCAAAACTAAAATAGTTTTTTTGACAATAAGTTGTTCTCAATCATTGAAAACCCCTATTAAACTCATTTAAATTTGCCCTAACAAAGTTTCAATTGATTTTTGAGCTTTCTAATTTTTCTCTAAAAAATGGTAACCGTACAATTTGATATATGAAAGCTATATGACAAGCATTTTTCGAACAAAACTAAAATCATGTTTTTAATAGTTAAATTGCTCTTTATCATTGAAATTTCAATAACCTCATTTGTAATTACCAAAACATGTTTTAAGAGAAATTTTTGAAAAAATATATTCTATAACTAATTGCTTATACAACATTTTTCATCCATGAAAATTGTGTGACAAGCATTTTTTCATCCAAAAGTTTTTATCATTTTCCACATTTCCAAAAAAAATTAAATGAGCCAAATAGAATTAAATGTGTATTAAAAATCTTTATTATTTTTATTATTAAAACAGTTTTTAAATTTTGTATCAAAAAATTGATGACAAGCATTTTTTCCATAGACACCATATATGAAATAGTATGATAAGGGATTTCCTTCTATGAAATTCAACCCGGAAGCTCATTATCAGTCAGGCAAAAACAATAGGGGTTTCTGGATGTGAAGAGAAAGAATGCACTTTTAAGTTTTGGTGTCTCTAAGATGTTTATTTTCAGTCAACCAACATTAAATTTGTTTAAAGGCGCCTTTGATGGGGAGCTTTCGTGAACTAATCTTTCAAAAAATTTCCTGTTGTGCTGAGTTTTGCAGCTCATAAATCCCAAAATTGAGGGGGAGCTTTCGTGGTCTATTTGCATGTTTTGCAGAATTTCAAAAAATTGCTCGTTGTGCAGAAATTTTCATCAACCAGAGTTGACATCCATGCATGGAGAAGGCTTATCATACAATTTCATACAACAAAAATCTTTATCATACAATTCTATACATCAAATTTTTAGAGAAAATGCTTGTCATACAATTTTCATACATTGTCGAAAAATAATAGAAAAAGATGGCAGGGTGTCGAATCCTTCACAAAAAGTCAAATTTTACATGCATTTTGAAAACTTATAAAGACAAAAAGCATTTTGAAAAGTTATAAATACAAAAAAATTATAAACACATAATTTGCATACCATACAGCATTCATATATGAAAACTATATGATACGCATTTTTCCGACCGAAATTAAAATTATCTTTTTGACAGTAAGTTGATTTTGTTTTCCGACCAAAACTAAAATAGTTTTTTTGACAATAAGTTGTTCTCAATCATTGAAAACCCCTATTAAACTCATTTAAATTTGCCCTAACAAAGTTTCAATTGATTTTTGAGCTTTCTAATTTTTCTCTAAAAAATGGTAACCGTACAATTTGATATATGAAAGCTATATGACAAGCATTTTTCGAACAAAACTAAAATCATGTTTTTAATAGTTAAATTGCTCTATATCATTGAAATTTCAATAACCTCATTTGTAATTACCAAAACATATTTTAAGAGAAATTTTTGAAAAAATATATTCTATAACTAATTGCTTATACAACATTTTTCATCCATGAAAATTGTGTGACAAGCATTTTTTCATCCAAAAGTTTTTATCATTTTCCACATTTCCAAAAAAAATTAAATGAGCCAAATAGAATTAAATGTGTATTAAAAATCTTTAATATTTTTATTATTAAAACAGTTTTTAAATTTTGTATCAAAAAATTGATGATAGGCGTTCTTTCCATAGACACCATTTATGAAATAGTATGATAAGGGTTTTCCTTCTATGAAATTCAATCCGGGAGCTCATTATCAGTCAGGCAAAAACAATGGGGGTTTTTGGATGTGAAGAGAAAGAATGCACTTCTAAGTTTTGGTGTCTCTAAGATGTTTATTTTCAGTCAACCAACATTAAATTTGATTAAAGGCGCCTTTGATGGGGAGCTTTCGTGATTTATTTTTTCAAAAAATTTCCTGTTGTTCTGAGTTTTGCAGCACATAAATCCCAAAATTGAGGGGGAGCTTTCGTGGTCTATTTGCCTGTTTTGCAGAATTTCAAAAAATTGCCCGTTGTGCAGAAACTTTCATCAACCAAGGTTGACCTCCATGCATGGAGAAGGCTTATCATACAATTTCATACAACAAAAATCATTATCATACAATTCTATACATCAAATTTTTGGAGAAATTGCTTGTCATAAAATTTTCATACATTGTCGAAAAACAGAAGAAAAAATTGAACCATGTCTGCGGCTTTTTGAGAACAATTGAACAGACTGGTGACAAAAAAAAAACTGATTTAATTTCTTTTGAAAGAAATGCTTGCCAAGCGTTTTTGCCATAAAGGATCATTTTTCAAATTTTCTTGGAAACCAGTTTTTGGAAAATTTAAATGAGTTGGTTGCATTTTTTCTACATTATGAGAGCAAATTGCGATAACAAAATAAAAAATCAGTTTGGAAAAAAAATTATTTTTATGTTCTTATGCCCCTGTATCATTTAACGTTCTTGACTTTTTCAAAGTGTAAAGTAATTGGATCAATTGAAAGTTTGAACTGAAAAAAGCCTCTGATATTTTTTGTTCTTTCTGGCGTTCATGTTAAGACCAATTAGGTCAAGTATTAGAAAAGTGCCTTATAACACACAAAAAATGGGTTTTGTAAAAAAAATTTGGTGAAAAACTTCTAGCTTATTTCTGATTTGGTCATGATTGGTTTTTTTTTGGGTGGGTTTTTTTTTCCTGTGGGTTGTCCGCCGATTAGGCTAAAATTAAATTGTTGTATGGTTTCTTTTTTATCATCTATGTATCATTTAAATATCATCTATGTAGCGCAGCATAGTGCTTTTGAGCGCCATCGCTTGGCTAACTTTCGACCAATTTTTGTCAAATATGAATCCCATGGCGACCTCAAATTTTCAATTTTGTCCATTTGTGTAGAACTTTAATTTTGTCGGGAAGCAATTTCAAATTCATAATGTATTCGATTCTTTCAATTTTTTTTCTGTGTTCTCGCAAGTTTAATAACGTTCTTCATAAAAAATGCATAAGTGGATGTCAGAAGTAGTGGATTCACGATGCTGGGGAGATTTGCCGGAGCTTTTCTCCCAGATGTGCAGGTTTTTTTTTAAATGATATAACCCCCTCCCCTCTCTTAAGAATATGAGTAGGACCTTGCTGCTATCTAAGGAGTTGAGAAGATTTCCTGCAGAAAATGAAGAAACTGAGATTGAAACTTCTAATAAGCAATTGCTCAGGTTTTCTCTGTTCACAGATTGCACGGCTTATTAGATGGGCTTTAATTTAAGTTGTGCCGCATTTGAAAAAAAAATCTGAAAACTGTTTGTCATACAATTTTCATAAATGACAAATTTTTAGTCATACAATTTCCATTTATGGCAAAAATGTTAGTCATACAATTTCCATTTATGGGAAAATGTCTATTATAGAGATTTCATACAATTTTATGTACGTATGGAACAAAAAATTTCCCTTTTATGAGAATTGTATGATAAGCATTTGCGGTCAACCCGGAAAATAGAACCTTTACAGTGCTTTGCAACTCTTTTTTTTGCACCCCTATTGAAAACTAAATGCACCCCTGCTTGCAGATGAAATCATTGAATCATTAACGTTAATTTTTTCTGATCTTGTTTACTATTTCCCCCTCCCCCTTTTGGACCATGTTAACTAACCCCCCCCCCCCCCCCCCCCTATGCATGTATTATTTTTGACAACCATTTCTGTAGAAAATATGCATTTCAAAAATTCCAAAAATTAAGTGTTTTCCTTTTCGCGCGTTTGTATTTGTATTACTCAGTTTATATAATACCCACATAAAAAGAATGTGGCCGCTAAATTTGAAATTCTGAAAATCGAAATTGTGGGGAAGGGGGGAAGGGGGGAATAGTTAACAAGATCCTTTTTTTCTATTACTTACAAGAGTTCTCCTTGTTGCTGAGATCTCTCCTTGTTATCTTTGATCCTTTAGCTGAGATGTCCTCTAGCCGTCCGAGATGGACCCGTTGAAACCCTAGAAAAACAAACAAACGAACTAGCAAATACGGATGCAGTGAAGATGATATCTCCGCGGGCAAAAAAACACTTAATCCTCAAAAGGGCGGAACTCAACCAGGACAAAAACCGCAGACTTTGACTCAAACTTTGATTTTCGTCTTGATTGTTCAAAAACAGTTGAGCAACATATTTTAGTAAAATTATTCATAAGTTGAAAAAATGGAAGTAGTTTTTGAAAGAAACTGAAAATTAAAATTAAGGAATTCTGCTGAATATAGTTAGATAAATTTAAAGGCTTTGTCGATTTGTTAAACAGTGTAAAATTGTTCAGCGTGTTCCCGCTGCTTTTAGTTCTGACTTTAGAAAAAAACTGAATACTTATGCTAGAAGTGGTTTTCTATTCAGACATTTTTCGGCAATCGAAATCAGAGTTTGTAACAAATTGTTTATACCCATTGAAGGAATCCACTTTCTGAAATCAATTAAAAAATTGATAATTTACCTCAGTCCATTTTTAAATTTCTTATTAATTTTGTACGAGTCAATTTTTCACATTTGATCTTCCAAATTCTCCAAAATTTATAATTTTTTTTTCGATATTGTCTTAATTTGCTTCTAAATCACTTTATTCTGCTACCAAGAAACTTTGCCACAGAAAAGACTTCTTGGTTTTTTAGGACCTTCTCAAGCAATATCGAGGGTTTGTCTTCGTTTTCAAAAACTTATCAGTAATTGCGTCAAAATTAAAATCACTTTTCCGACTGCTATCGAAGAGTTTTGGCGATCGAAATGATAGTTTTTAACAAAAGTTTTTCTAACCCATTGAAAAATCGATATTCTAAGATCAAGTATAAAAAGATAATTTACCCTCATCCATTTTTTAATTTCACATTAACTTGGTACGAGTCAATTTTTCGCATTTGATCTTTGATATTATCCAAATCTTATAATTTTTCAATATTTTCAGTCTTGTATTCATCTCATTTTATTGTGCTACCAAGTAATTTTGTCACAGAAAAGACTAATTCTCTGTTTTAGGGCCCTTCTCAAGCAATATCAAGTGTTTTGTCTCATGTTTCAAAATTTCGTCATTAATTGCACATCAAAACTAAAGTCAACAAGCCTGCTCGAATATTAGGGCAAAGCGCTGAATGTTCCAACTGCCCCCTAATTCATGGAAGTTTGAGTCGTACGCCTCAATTCAATTTGGAACAATTTTGTTCTGCGGGATTTATCGACATGCATAAATAAGTCGCGTTACGCTCTCAGTATTACAAAAAAACTCTTCAAAGTGCGCATAATTTGGTCTGAAACAAGGCCAAATTGGCAACTTTTGAACTTACAGAACCTCACAAAAATAATCGGTGGTAAAATATTTGAATATGAGCTCAGTTCTTCTCTCAGTTCTTTTTATTTCGAGCGAGGAAAATTGACTCAATAAGAAACCAGCCCAAGCATGAAAAACCCGTTTTCTTCGAAAATCTGAACACAAAGAGATTATGGATAGAAGTTAAGACATAATACCAACTGATTTATTTTTCAAAATAGGTTTATTAAAAAAAACTTAGAAAAAATCAATTCAGAAAAAAACAATTGAAAAAATACTTAAATGTAATGAAAATACTCATTTTAAACCAGTGAATAAATGAATAAATGAAAATAATCATGCAACATAAATTTTTTTAATCAAAATTTAAAAAAATATATTTTAACAATAATCAATCAATTTAAAAAACATTAAGAACAATTAACGATTGCTACTTATTTATAAATAAAGATTATAAAAGATAAATAGGTAATTTTAAATCATAAAACGTACATCTAAAAACAATTACCGAGAACTATTTGTTCAGAAATCTATGTTTAAAATTATTTCTTTAAGAAAATGATGATAAATAAGTTTCTAAATAAAAAAAAATTGAAGCTAATCCGCCGATTTGTGAGAGAAAAAACACAAAATAAACACGATTAATTTCATGTTCAAAAATCAAATCCACAATCAATATTCAAATTTTTCAAAAATCAATGTGAGTAATTGATTGAGAAAAACAAAAGTAAAAACGAGCAAATGTTTTAAGAAAGAACAAAAAAACATTAAAAAGATTTTTATAGAAGTTTTCGCTGAATTGAAAAAAAATCAGTTTCGGTTTTCTTAAAAACTCATTAGCTAAAACTTGGGAATGTCAAACATGTGATTCAGCATTATGCCATGAAAGACTGTAGCAATTGAACTTATAGCATCTTGGATTATCATCACGGATTATCTTGATTAAAGCGTGAGTTATCAAAATTGGTTAAAGTCGTTGGCAGCATTGAATCATAGTTTATTCATAGTGAAGAAGGCTGCTCCAAAAATCAACGCTGGTTTAGGGATAAATCATCGCTAATATTGTATTTCATTGATGTTTCAGAGTTATTTCAGCTCTAATTCAGAGCTGGGATTTTATACCTTGGCTTAAAGATTTTTCAGAGCAAATCCTATATTCATCGCTCTGTCAGAGATGATCCAGCGCTAACTTAGAACCGGAAATTTTAGCATTAATTCAGCCAAACTCCAGTCCTGATTATGGCTAAAGAGATGCTGATCGTAGCTTGGAACAGCTATGATTATCCGTGCGACCTCAACCAGGGAGGGCAGACGGAACCTCCACAGCTCTGTTCTGATATGAAAACCTTTTATTCAGCTATTTATTTGTAATCTTATATAGTGTTGCTACCATGCGATCATAATTTCACTCACCGTAAAACTTGTGATCACTATTTGGGGGCTATGGGTAATAGAAACGTACAGCGCTGTACCAAAAAAAGATAGGATGCTGCTTAATAGGAAAAAACAACAAGACTGCTCGTAGTTCAGAACAAAATTCTGGTTGTTGCGCCTTAAGTCTAGCGTCAAATCGAACTTTTTGCTTATAAAAAATTATTTAAAAATGTTCGAAAAAAAATGCGAAAAAAGAGTAATTTTAAATTTTTTCATTTCATAGTTTTATACCACCACAAGCGAGGTGAAGTACTACATTTAAGTGCAGCAACTTAATAATCAGAGCAAATCACTTTTTTGCACAAGAAATATCTAACACATAAAGCATAGCTACTGTCTTCAAAAGACAGTCGTCATGCTTTGAAAAAACAAGATAACTCCCAGCACAGAAAAAAACAAGAATTGGACTCAACCTTCGAGTAAAACAAATTGTTTTTAAACTTTTTGAAAAGATTTCAAAATTAATGCAGAAAAAGATTTGAATTAGTTTGAGTTACGACAAAAGTTGAAAACTTTGCTAACTAAAAACTGCTGGTCAGTTTTTACCATTTAATTAGAACTTTTTTAATGAAATAATTGTTTTGTACAGTTATTGAAATTATGACGTAATGACAATTTTTCACAAATCAATGCGCTTCTCATTAGTCCAATTTTCTAAGAAAGTGAGGGAAAATTTGTGCTCGGTGCGTTCTTAAACTTCAAGCCAATATCAACTATTTAACTAGCCATTTTTCAATGAATTTTCAAGGCAATGAAAAGGCAGTGAACTCTTGAGCCCAAATATAATGAGTTGTTTCATCAGTAGATTTTTTCGAAACTTTACAAACACTTTATTCGGCCCTTTTGGGATTAATGAGCGCGCAAACTGTTTCGTGTTCGCCAGCATGTAAGCTGCGGTTCAACGCCGCTCAGATAATGTTCCTTATTGTTCCGACTTTCCATACGAAAGTAACGGAATATTTACGCTCGGGACAAGTTTCTTCAGACAAGTTTCGACTTTTTAAGTAGCCCAGTTTTGACGGACTTTTTTTACATCATTCGAAAGGTATTGTTATCCTGAGCTCAAATTTATAAGATATTTTACCTGTGATCATTTTTACGGGGGTTTAAAGATTGCCATTTTGGCCAATTTGGGACAATTAACGCGCGATATATTTCGCGCTTTTAACGCATAAGCGGAGATTTAATCCGTGTTAGAATTAGTTCTAATTTGGTTGAAGAAAGATTATTTGCCATAATTGATTTGTTGCTAGAAGCGAAATCTATCACTTCGTAAATAATATGGCGTGCGGTGGGATGATTTTCACAAACAAAAACTCATATTAAAAAGTATTTTTTTTCTACATTGAATTTTTTAATGTTGTTACTGCTGCTCCATAAACCTTAAGAGACAGTTGGAACATTCAGGGCTTCGCCCTGATACGAGCAGTCTTGTTGAATTCAGGCAAACTTTTTAGTCTTACTGATTTTTTCCACAGCCTATTTTCAAACAAAGATTTTTTTTGCTAGTGATTTAACTGCCACAATTTTCAATTCTCTGTGATTTGAGTCCTACATTATTCTAAAATAAGAACCTAAATTGTTTATAGATAATAATTTAAAAAATCATCTAAAAGTTAATTAAAGGAAAATAGCGGCTAAATTGTAATCGGCAGTTTAGCTTTACTAATTTTTTGAAGTAGCAGTGTTATATAAACCATACTGCTTGTGGGTCAGGGCAAAACTATGAATTTCTAGCTGGCTTTCAAAAAAAAAATGTTCCTTCAAAAAATTGATGAAAAAAAATCCAAAGAAAGGAAAACCGCATGATTTGTTTTCTGCTATATGTTTTTACTTTTTATACTTCTAGACGCTATGTAAAATTCTTTGAGATGAATTTGGTGCTTCGTATTGTATACTAAAAACCAAATTGCTGGCCTCAATACTAAAAAACCGCAACTTTCATTTCAAAGTAATAATTTCGAATGACCCAAAGTAGCATCTTTTAAATCTCTATATCTTCAATAAAAAACAACAAGACTGCTCGTATCAAGTCGAAGCCCTGAAAGTCCCGACTGCCTTTTAACATTTATGGAGCAGTGATAACATTAAAAAATTCAATGAAATAAAACAAAAGAAATTTTTTTTTCTAAAATGTGAAATTTTTTTATGAAAATCATCACCCCACACGCCTTATAAAGTACAAAACAATAAATTTGAACGCTGCTTGTAACAAATCAAGTATGGCAAATAAACTTCTTTCAACCAATTTGGAA